AAAACCACCTGACACATTACATTATGTGCAAAAACTTCTCAACTTTCTGTGAACTTGGAATGCAACTCCCACTCGATGGTATATATATATTTTTTTAAATACATAAACGTAATATAAATACATATATATTATATGTGTGTGAATAACATATAAGTATATATAATGTGTATATATATATATATATATATCAAAGTAATAATAAGGATGGTGTTACACCATAGGAGTTACATATGCAAGAACAAACAGGAATCTGTGACAAAGATGGCAGACACATTTTGTTTTTAACAGAAACATAAAATTCAAAGCAATGACTAAAAAGATACAATCTTAAACTTTAACATACATAATATTTGTCAATCGTGCCTTAAATTCAAAATATTTAACTGCTAAGAACATAAAAATACCTTTTGTGCTTTACAATATGGGGTGCAGTAAGTTTACCATTGTATCTGATGCCATAGAGTAGTACCTTATCCAGAGATGTGGCAAATGCAAACAGCCCATTAGGAAAGCAAGGGTATTATGTTCAACAGAAATAACAGTGTATTCAGGCATCACCACCAACAGTTCAAATGCTTATCTCAAAGCTATTTTCTCCTTACTAATGCAAAACTTTGTAACATAAAAACAACTTCTTCAAAAAGAACATGGAGACCAAAGGTTCAAAAAGCTGATAATGCCTTTTAAGCAGTCTGAATCTGTGATAATCTGACAGCATGCTGTCAATCTGCTTTTAGATGATCACTCAGGTGATTAGTAATTAAGATATTAACTGTGACTTCTCTATTTTTACAGTAAGTTAAACCCTACTGTTCAACATTATTGCATTCAAAAAGAATGTATATTTAAGTCTCAAAGGCAGACAAAGCCCAGAGGGAAGTAGCTCATTTGATACAACAATCACACCACATCTGCAGCTATTACAAGTAACAGACTTCATTTTTACCAAGTACAAATTCTGTCTATTGAGGTGGTAGAGAGAGGATGAAACTGTTGATCTCAGAATGTGGTTATAGCCAAAATTAGTTACCCATTTCATTAAGCAAAATTAATTGAAAATAATAATTTGGTGCCAATTTCTTAAACTTTCACTTTAAATATTTGGCTGTGTTGACAAGAACATAGTTTTTGTTACTACAGAGATACTGAAACAATAGGTCTGATAGCGTGCATTAGGAAAGTCTCAGCATAAGCTGACCTGCAATGTCCAAGTCCACTGTAACTTGAAATCAGTATGCAACAAGATACCACAAAGTCACATGCAGATGAAAAAACAGCTATATGCAAGAAGGTACTGTATACTAACCACAACTATGTTAGGAATTTCCTGAATCAAGGCTTAAAATAAAGACCTAATGACATATGTGGAGTGAAATAAACTTAAACAATAAAGCAGCAAAAATTTTAAAAAATGGATTTTAGTAGCTTACTGAGACAGAATCCTCTAAAATTAAAGGGCTTATAATAACACAGAGTAAAGGAAGTATTTAAAATATGAGCAACGTAGGCAAAACAAGTTTTAAGGGAAGGTGTGAGAGGCTGTATTTCAGAAGCATACCCACCCACCATGGTATCTTTCACTATCTCCCTGGTTCACAAGCTTCAGTTTCCCCTGCAGCAAGCCATGCAAATACCAGAGATACTGGTTATTTGTACTGTTTCACTTTCAAACACTTTGCCTTGTTTGGCTTGGCAAAAGAGTAACTGCTCTTAAAGGTGCCGTTTCACTGGATGGCACAGAGTGTACACACTAGCATAATGCACAGGAACAGACAATAACTAGGGCGCCCAAGAGCACCCCACACACTACTGTACAACCTGTACTTGGCAAGACTTTCAAAGGCCAAAACAAGGACTTTATGTGCCAGCAACTACGTGATTTGAACAAGGATTTGCAGGAGGAATCTCCTCCCTATTACACTGCAGCATAGAATAGCAGGGTGTGAACTTGTAAACATCCTACTCCTTTAAAGCTGTATCCAGACACTGCCAAGCATTTCTAGGCTTTGCTGAACCTGGTGCCCAAACCCTACTCTTTCCAGCTAAAAGAGTTGGTAAGAGCACTGCAGGACTTCCTAATTACTGCTTTCCCCTAGATGTAAGTGAAGCACTGTCTCTACTGCTGCCATTTTAGTTATAAACAGATAGCTCTGTAACACATTTTGTGGTTCATGCGTATCAAAAGACATGTGACTTCATCCATGTAGCTGCACTGTTCTCCAGAACAGGTTGTCTATGTACTTGGCTCCTTCCCTGCTGCAATTACAAGTTGCCTGCTAACCCCACTGCAGGATGAGAAAACCTAACCACAACCAATCACCTTGTGTTTGCTGGAAGAGCTGGAGAAAACAGCTGCAGTGTAGAAGGTGAAACACAGCAAGGCATGAACTGCAACACAACAGCACCAAAGCAAAACACACGGAATCCTGAGGCATCTTGCACAGTGGCAAATTACTCATCCCACAAAGCACCCAACATCTCCAGATTACAGGAACAATTAACCTTGTGAATACTATTGCTGCAGAGTATATGATCGCTGTGCTACTTCAGTCTTAAAATCCGATTATTAGTATTGCAATACTTGATAATATCACTATGCTTTTTGACATGGTATTAGAAGATGCTTAAACCCTACTGAACTATAGCAGGCTAAGTTCCATATGAAAGTAAAATAATAAATAAAAAACATAGATGAGACTATATTTTATTATGAATTTAATTTCAAAATAAATGATACTGTTCAATACGACAGCAAAACCAGGATTTTTACAAACCAGACTTTATGGAAAGCCTAGATGATCTTGGGCATTTTCAAATTATTACATTGTTCTGTGAGGAGCTTACCAGACTTCCATGAATATTCATGGAAAACTAGTTTGAAGAAAAAAGGAATTAAATTTTGCTTTACTGCCACCAACCCAGTGTTTTACAGTAATCACTCCAGCCTCAAAGTCCAAAGAATTTTCAGGAAACTTAGCATTATTTCAAGCAAAATTAATTCTAACCTATAATACCACCAACTATATGCAGAATACAAGACAAAATGTCATCTTCTCCATTCTATTCCACAATGCTTCTCTTTTCACTATTCCTCAATTTCAAACCCTCACCTCCCTCCCAGGAGCACCTGTGCAATCTCTCCACCTACATACATGTGTGTGTTTCAGAAATAAGAATGAGGAAAATGAATGATCTCTAAGTAATTGGTATTTCCACCCAAAATTATTTCTGCCTCCTTCTCTCTCCTTATCATCCAGCAGAAACTGTTTCCCACAAGAGTCTAAGGAGCTTGAGTTTGACTGTGTATGTGCCAAATACCAACAAAAATTATATCTGTTATCCAATGAATGTGCAATGGCAAGCCTGAAGCATTGAAAAAAAAAGATCAAAATATTCTGAACATCAGCCTCAGAAGCCTGAACTACATATATATACACAAACTAAATCTGTGGTTTTTAAATGGTATTCTGGTTTCAACTTATGTTAAATACAGTTGAGTTAAAAACAAAACAGATTGGGATGCAAATCTATGGACAAAGTATATGGGAGATATAATGATGCAGCTGAAAATAGCACAAAGCGTCATTAGATAAATGCCACCTAATTCACTTCTTTGGCAAGGCTGGAGGAATTGAAGGAGCAAGGTTTGACATGTATTTTCATTTTCTATGAAGAACAAAGTTCTTTATATTCAAACAACCTTTCTGGCTCACATAAATTTGTCTCTATTTTATTCTAACATAGGTACAGAATAAAACATTTTCCCAGTGATTTTTTTTTTCCCTTCCGCTCTTGTTCTGAAGTTGGATAAAGCCTGAGCTTCTACAGAACAGACAAGAGACTTCCAAGCCAAGGAAAGGGCTCATAATTGCAAGCATTAATGAAGCTCCATGAAAACAATACAAAATTCTCATTATTTCACAAGAAATACAGAAATCAAAAGTAAAAAGTTCACAGAAAATGTAATAAGACAGATATTACCATTTGATGAAAGTAAGCAACAGTATAAAAAACTTAAAAAGAAAATAAAAATTTCAAAGACTACATCTAACTGTGAGAAGATTCTTATTTCACAAGACAATAGAGTTTAGGATGAGCTCCAAAGAAAATTTTCTGAACAAAATACAATGCCACTAGGAGACATCAGTCTTCTAATATTCTTTAAATCTACAATGAACTAAATTACACTGGAATTACTATGTTGCCAAAGATGACATTTAATAGGGTAAGTCTCTGAACCAAGGTTAGGGCCACCTGCAGATGCTAGTCATCCAGCAACACTGCAAGGAACAGAGTATCAGTCTTACTGACCAGACTGATTTCAAATAGAAGTCATTATATTCTGCATATGAATATTTTTCTTTAATTCCATTTCTATTTTATCAATTAACTTGTACAGAAGTGGTTGCAGTTACTTCTCTATATGAACATTGTTAGGTATTGTGGAGTCTACTACAATGAACAGCTTGTGTAAAAATTATTGGGCAAACATTTAAAAAAATAATTAAAAAATTCCAAGACCCATTAAAGGGGAAATTTTATTAAAGAGCCTGTCCATTTTTCCATCATAAATATTCTCGACTGTTTCTGTTGTTTGGTTTTTTTTTTTAAAGTAACAGAATTACAATAAGAATGTCAGAAAGCACCAAACTGTAGTTAAAAAAAAAAAGTCCTATTTAGAACTTCACACACACAAAAGCCCCCCACATTTAAAGCTTCTAAGTTAGAATTTTCAGTTACAGTCAACCAGTCAAATAAATATAAATATACACAATTGCAACTGTCTACAACAGCGACAACTGCTTCCTGGGACAGCTGAGTATACATAAAGTACTATACTTTCTGGGTTCATTTCAAAAATAACACTTTCAAACAAAGCTGTGTGGTTAATATGAAAACTCTTATGATGAAAAGTAAGACTTTATCATACATATCAGCCTTTTCACACGAACGGAATATTTAGTCTGTACTTACGAAACCACAGACATATGAGTACCTACCCTGCATTATTACTGACTGCTGTTATTCCCTTTACTCCAGTCTTCAGTAAACCCCCAATGAGGTTTTCAGGAATCCCACACAAACCAAAACCTACATAAAATAAAAGAAAATTGAATATGTAACAAGTGTTTGAAAAGAACACAGATTAATCAGGAGTCTGAGAATGTGCACTGTTTAATTAAAAAACTTTTCTGAGTAGAACAAGCTCCTCAGTTGACTAAAGAAACCAACACTTCTGGACAGAGTTGCACCCTAGTACTGGAATCTCCCAGTCACTAAGTGCTTCCCAGTTTGGATGAAAGCCATTTAATCATCAGAGGTCTGCTCACACTCAAATGGCCTTTGCAGAGGCTCCAGGACCTTGGCTCTCCTGATGTGTGTCCTAACTATTGTACACATTATTTCTCCTCTTTTTACCCAACTAACCTTCAGTTCTTCGCTGCAGATAACTATGTCAAATAGGAGGAGTGAGGAGTTCTCCCATGCACCTTAGCCTGCAATTACGTGACAAAAATCTGGGGATCTTAATGCTCTCGGGAAGATGTGTAACTGGAAGCACAGTAACCCAGATCTCCACCCAGGCTGACATGTCTCACACTCCTACCTATTATGCAAGAATCCAGTCTGCCTATAACAAAACACCATGCCACATGTGAGGCACCTAAGTCTTAGGCTAGGCTCTAACACCACAACTACCACCATTTCCTTCCCAACCACTTAAGTCTCAGATCATCTCTTGCTCCAACAACAAAAAAATACAGTAATTCTTACCAGAAGGCATTTTGCCTCATTACACATCTCCAGTGAAGTTTCCCACGTTTTACAACTTTACATTCATTACTTCTTCAGTAGTAAAAATCGCTTATAACCTACTAAATAGCAAGATCGTTTTTTTTCAGTAGCTTGAACAGCGTGAAATTGTGGAAATCATCTAGAATATTCAAAAGCTTATGTCACAGTGAAAGCCAGTATGACACAACTTCTTGACTCTTCTGCAAATGCTACACATAACCACTTAGTGCGATGTCGATAAGTATTATCCTCACTTTCTACAGCCAGAAACAGGTTAGGCAACTTGTTCAAGGTCACAGAGACCCAGCAACTAGGCATACACAGAATATGGAGAATGCTACCATAAAAAAATCAAATCAAATTTTATTTCTTCAACATCTCAAATAACAAAGCTAACTTGAAAAAGCCCAAGTTGATTTTCTGCATTCAGACTGGCACAAGTCAAGTCTAACACTTCACTAGTGGGTAAAAAAATCTAATGATTTTTCTGAGGTTTTTTCCCTCCCCTAAGAAACAAACGGGATTTTCTCACCAAAGGAGTCTGCCCCTCCTTAGCAGAGTAGGCAACCACTTGTTTAAAATTCCCATACAAGTATATGGATTCTCAAACCAGTTAATATTGAAAGAAACACGGTAAAATGGTAAAAAGTATCTCACTAATGTGACTGCAGCCATAAAGCATTTAACTATTTACCACCAACAAGTATAGTCGCCCCATTGGGTATGTCTTTTACAGCTTCAACAGGATCAGTATAAAATTTGGTGTTGCGGTGACAGCTGGTAGAAAAGTAGCATCCACAAATCTGGAACAACATTAAAAGAAATAAGTGAATGGACAAAAAGCATTACACAGTAGATTTCTAATGATGACCATCCCTCTGGCTAGATAAGGGGGGAAATAAATAAAAAAAGATATTGCTACATTAAACACGAAAGATTAGAGGGAGGGAAAGAAGGGTTCAGGTCTCCAAATAAGGACTCTCTTGTCTCTCTATCCCCTGCATCATCCATATTTTAAAATATCATATGTATTATGAACGCTTTAGGTTTAACTTGAGCTGCATCAATTTGACAATATCCAAACAGATTTTAAACTTCTGAATTCCATCCTAGACTGCTGACAAATTATGACTTATTGTGAACAGATTCACAAATGCAATTCTCCAGCATGAGTTAGAGCAACCCAAAGAGTGTTCTAGCCTGTGTACTGCTACTTGTAGCTTCAAAGATATCTAGACACTAAACGTTACCAGAAATTGGTGAAGCGGAGACCCAACACCACCACAAAACTCGAGTGAAGGCCCAGGAACAATATGAAGTTCAGTGCTGTGCTGGCAGTATAGTAAGCAGGGACTCCCTTCAACGGAGTGAACCTTCCCCCAGCTTCCTCACACAGTCAGAGCTCTTTGTGTTGAAGAGTAGGCCAGAATCAGGGAGACCCCAACAAACTGATGAAACAGGGAGGGCAGGAGGGAAATCAATACAAATTCCACCCCCAAAACTAGTCTTCACAGTGCAAAACCATTACACCGTAATCATCATAACTCATCTATTATATTCTTAGGTCATGGTTACACTTTAATTTTTTTCTTCTTTAAGTATTTCCCACTAATACTACCATGCATTAATGCTAATCAAGTACTGTCAAGGCACCAGGAGCAATTGACATTTAAGTCACTACATTGACACAGTCACCATAAATTGAGAGTATTTGGAAGTCAAAATACTACCTACTGGTGTTTCCACTTCTAATTTGCTACCAGTAGTCAGAAATTTTAAAGCAGGAAAGAGGAAGAATGAGTAAATAAGTAACAACCAAGCTAATCTACACACATTTTAAGGACAATAGCCTAACTCTTTCCTAAAGAGTTGCCTTAAGATCCAGTTACGACCAGGGCAACAATTTTTGGCTCAGTTTCAAGATTACACAAACTGCCTTCTTCATAAATTGAGGCTGCAAGAGTTTATAATGAATATTAAGAAAACCTTACTGAATGGAGGCTTATCGCCTTCCCAGTGGAAACACCAATGTTCCTCTGCTTTGATAGGCTCCAAAAAAAAATAAAAAGTCAGTACATGGGTCATAAGGAAGAGTGCCAGGTGAGAAGATCTTTCCCTGTGCTCAATTGTACCACGACTATTTCTTTCAGAAACATTTTTTCTAATGACACTAAGACTGTAAACAGTGTCTCTTCTGGTCACATTCAGTAGGCAAGTGACATAATGCTTATTAAGTGCTGACAGTCTCACAAGGGCCGGTAGAACAGGGCTGCAAGCAGGCATGAGGGCCAGGGCTGAAGGGAGGCCAGGCCACTGCCGTGTCCCTGTACCCACACATAGGAAAATATTTTAAAGAGACCATACAGTACCTTTTCTTTAATCTTCCCAACTGCTTGTAACAGTGGGGAACAACAGAGCGGCATGTGTTATATATGCGTGCATTCCCAGGTTGGATGTCTCTAATAAGGGTATCTGCCTTTCTATACCAAATACGTTCTTTCAGTCCCTTTCCCACTCACTCTGCCATTTGAGAGCAATGGGCTTCCAGGGAGCAGAGGAGATAGGGATCACCCATGTTCCTCTGCACACTGGGGCAGCAAGCTAAGATGTCAGGAGCTGGCTGCAATTCTGGCAGCCCACGTTTAAGAGAGAACTAACATGGGGACAGATGAGCTCATAGAATCATCAACAAAATCGAAGTAAATTTTATAGAAGAGCAAAATATAGCTTAGCAAAACAAAGACTGAAAGAGCTATGATTATTTGTCCATAAAGACATTAGGAAGAGTACACACGGGTATGAGAAGGAGAGTAGATGAGTTGTTTCAACTAAAATAAGAAAAGCCACGGAAACAATTCTGGCTGAAGAAACAAAAAATTAACTTGGCTATAGTTACACATGGGCTGGAAACTATTAGATCAGTGAGGTTTGGCAGAAGCTTCCCCCAGGAAGAGCAGAGCAAGCGAGCTAGCTAACTGCACGGCTGAACTCCGCGCGTTCATGAATGGCAACACAGGGCAGGGCTGCCAGGGAGCTGTGCTCACTGAGCTGGGCTCTCCCTGCCCACACCTGCAGCCCACCTCTCGGAAAGACTGAGGTGGTGAGAGCAAGACTGAAATACACAGTCGCGTACTGTAATTGTGCTGTGATTTCAAATGTGAGAGAAATAAAATTAAAAAAAATTAAACCTCAACGCCAACCCTCCGGGCCGGTCCCCTAGGGTCACCACA